AGATTTCAATTTAAGCAATTACAAGAATTTATTTTAAATCTTATAATTGCAAAAGGTGAAGCATAGCTGAAAGAACAGGTATAATATACAAGGTTGTCTTGCTCAAAGTATATGGACTGCAAAATAGTGAATAATCAAATTGGCAGGGAAATGACAGTTAGGATTATTCGTAATCAACTTTTTTGTGTTTCTCTTTTCTCTTTTCTATTGTTTAGAGAAAACAAAAATTGCCCTGATGCAACAGTATTTTGCATTCCCCCTTCATATTTTACAACTCAACAAAGAATACGGTCCTTGTTTTCGGTAAGAAACATTAGCATGCTTATTATTTTATCATTTGCCAACAGGCAGTTTTGTGTCAATCTTTAAGTCAAGGACATTTGTACAAGTACCTGTTTCTGAACTGAAAGTGTAGCTTGATGAACTCTTGAAAGAAACACTTGTTTCGCTACTGTCATCTTTAGTGCTTACATTTGTCTCCAAATCAGATGGTCGAATAGATGACAACTGTCCTTTTGAAACAGCATAGACTGTGCAAAAGCTTGGAGTGCAGACTGAGATTCTTGAAGACAGATTATTTTTCTTAAGCTTCCTACAGATATAATCATGTTAACAAGATTATTGGTGGAGCTAGCACAAAGCTGCAAATAGAGAGCATAAGAGTAGACAGATACGCAAGATCAGCTCTTTGATGTTCACTCTCCTTTTCCAAAGAGAAACAGGAAAAATCTGATAACGCTTGCTCAATAATGAAGAAATGAAAAAGGTAAGGTAACATCATTTCTAAAAATATAAAAATCAGTGCTATCTAATTAGTTTCTATCTGGCTTTCAGTTTTTCATTCCAAATTAATTACTAGATCCTATACAACTAATTCCTAGGAAGTTCAAATACTCCCATGTAACCATACAAGGTTTAGTCAGGCTACTAGATCAATGGTCAGCATTAACAATTTCCTTTTATCACCACTATATGTGTAAATACCTTGTAAACATCCCACGAGATGTAGCTCCTATAACAAGCCTAGTGATAGCGCTCTTGGTAACCTCCTCTGCTATTGCATTTGCCACATCATCTGATTCAATGACTATAACATCAACTTGCACCTAGATTTATAATTAAAGCAAATTTAGTTGAGGTTTTCAGTATACACAAATAATAAGATTCAGCAGGAAAAATGAAGTTACCTTTCTTTGAGCACCCATTTTCTTATAAGGAAGAAGCATTTCATTTGTCTGCCACTCCACTTCCTTCTTATAAGCTGCAGCTACATCATTTCGTACTTGTGAAATAGGAATGAAGTTCCCCACTAGCAACAATATGAATTAGTCAATTTACATTAATTCTCAGAATTTTATTGGCTTGAATAGTCATTTTTGAAATTGTTTACCCGGAAATCAAACCTCCTTAAATGTTAGTCCACTTTGTAAAAGGCATTTTTCCATATGTTTGTCAACATATTCACAAATTGAAAACATTAGACAGCCTATAAAAAGACAAAAACTTTTCTTTGGGACACCATTCATGCTAATTATGTGCAAATTCCAATAAGCTAGAACAAATATTTCAGAGGCCTACCTAAAGGTTCTGCACATATTAGATAAGCTATGAATAGGTTTGGAGATACAAGTTAACTTATCAACCCTGACCATATATAATCTCTATGAACCTGGACTTACTTGGTGTAGGAACAGTAGTAATCTTCGCACGAACATGTAACAACTTAAACATGACGTTTTCCTCAGTAATGAATTTCTCCAATGCCCATTTGACCACATACTTGCTTTTTCTATTTCCATTGATAGCTATGCCAATGTTTAAAGTTGGAGGAGGTGGCAGAACCAGTTCACCTTCTGCTTCTACAATTTCTTTCTTCTCCATTATTCTGCCACTTTCTAAGACTCTGACGCTTTACAGAAAATACCATATTAGAATATTTGTAAAGAGATGGATTGCTCATTAGTTACTGCACACCTGACTGGAATATTAGGAAAGAACTTGCGAATATAGAAATCTTTTGTGGAATAAATCATGATACTAAAAGGCAATAGTGCTACTCAAAAGCCTCAAAAAAAAAAAAAAGAAAAGAAAATGCGTTCTATGAAGCATTTCATGGATAGAGAATGATACTGCCCCCACCTATCCACCCCTTTTGCTTAGAATTTAATGTTACATGGCTTGCCAGCAACCCACAGAGAATATATATACAAATACAATGAATCAAGGCTGCTTAAAGAAACGAATCTATGGAAATGAATCTAGAAGACCACAAGAACTCATTAAGGCAATCGAAAAGGTATGATAACATTAAATGAGAAAAGAATTTCGTCGACGATAATATCTCTGTACCTATCCACATTTCACGTTATTAACAACCCTCTGTTTTCCATTAGAAACCAATTTCCGGATTCCAGGACATAAAATTTCCCAACCAGCAACAAAAACTTTGAAACCAATGCTTAAGCTTAAAAGAATCCATGTGTGAAATTGTCAAAAGAATGATGCTAAAAGCAACGACAAACAAAAAGATAGACATACATGAAAAACAGAACCGAAAGTCAGACGACACAGAACTGGTAAAAGCCCCATGAAACGAATACAAATATGAAATCCAAAGAGAACCTGGAAGATAAAAGAGAGTAACTAAAACATACCAGTTTCCTCTGCAACTCGAAACATTCAAGCTCCTTCTAGTTCGAAACCCACCATGTTTCTTCTCGGTTGGGAATCAAACCAAGACAATGAAACAACTTAGTTTCCCAGCACTATACCAATTTATATCACATGATTGTTAAGTCCGGTGTTAGTTTAACCATAGACAGATGAAGATGACGCAAAGCACAGTGTCCCCACAAGCACTTTCTTTTCGCTTACTATTAATATGTATCTATAATCAGATTTCAAAGGCTACTGTGCCGTGCAGCGTTTACCATTCCTATGACGGCAACAATTTCTGTGATTTTTAATTGGCTTTCGGTACTGCTACTTGGTTGATGATTATCTATTGTTAAATGTAGCGGTTTGGCTTGGGGGTGGTTGTTTCTGTATACTTTTCAAAGGGATTGTTTTTGTCCTTGTTAAGCTTACGCCAAATATTGGTTGCTGCTGATTAAATAAATTCCAAATATGAGTGTATTCCTTCTACGAAATCATCAGAAAGGAAGGAACGTGGTAAGAATTTCAAAGAATTTGAGTTAAAGCTGAGGCTGACTACTGACATGTTTTTTTTGTCATTCCGAAAGGGTTGTTTGTCTAGGGGAAGGAATTTCTTAGATGGAAACAAATGAGAAAGAAAGAACAAAAAGCTTGCCTCTTTCCTGGAGGCCCTCCTTTCTAAGTCATTTTCAGTGTCAAATGGTCAATCCCAGCCAGTTCACATGAATCTCTCACTTTGCCTTTCTTTAACAGTGCGTTAAAGCTTTGTCATGCACGACAAGACATCTGAACGTAAGGCTACCAAACAGGAACCATCAACGCGTTTTTCCTTGTACTGAAGCTACACTTACATTTCGTCCACAGGAGCTATTACTCCCCGACAAAGCCAGAGGAAGCATTTAATTAACTTATAGGTTCTTCCAAATTTGTCAAAATCTATTCATAGAAGAAGCGGTCAATACAGTGCTTTGTCCACATGTTTTTACTTTTATTAGAATCTTGTTTAAAGATCACCCCGTCTTGATGCACTGCCAATATCTTCTGTCCAAGACAATACTAGCATTCCTTTTTCCTGTACAGTTACTCGAAACAAAAATGGGGATTAGGATAAGAATTTTGGGTTATCTTCGTTGACTTAAAACATATTTAAAGGAGGCAAGAATTTTGGAATTTCTAAAGCAGATATAACAAAGTAAACAATTTTTCTAAACTTCTTTGTGGTTATAATTTCTAATTAAGGAAGGACACTGCACACATAATTCTTGTGGAATAACAATATAAATAAAACCGAAAAACTAACTTTAACTTGTTCATCACCAGTGTTCTTTGACACTATGAGTCGATTTCTTGACTTCCTAGAGAAGATTAAATTCGTGAGTAATTTAGTACAGTAATGTTTGGTACATAATTGACTTTGAAGGTGATTTGCTATTAAATTTTACGGTTTCTTTGACGCCTGTTCATGGTGCACGTAAGCATTGACCTTAATGTGAGACACATGGGATCTTCTGTTTATCCAGTAAAGAAGACCTACTTCTAAAAGGGTGTTGTGTGCCCAGGAAAGCAACAACTCCAAGAATCTATTAACTTGGTATGGGTAGAGAGATATTAGGTTGGCGTTGCGCTTTTTTGTTATTAGCAACTCTCGGTCCATCTAATGTTTTTTTTTTTAGTACTTCAACTCTGTGTATTTATGCCAATAATGAGCAACTTTGGTGGCAAAAACCCTACTAATTAGAAGTTAGTTGAGTATTAATTTCATCCGGAGAAAAGTTGGTTGAACTTTCCCAGAATATCAGAGAAGACCAATTAATTGCTAGTGTGTTTTGTTAAGAGTGGGAGGTGAGAGACTAGGTAACAGGTTGTAAGCTACGAGAAAGTTTTGGGGTTATGGCCCGGAACGACAAAGAGGCAGGTTCAACAAGTCAATTGCATATCCTTTTCTCTGGTGAAAATACAGGTCAACCCATAAGGCTGCTGGTTGTTTAAGAAAGAGAAAGTTACCATTGATCCAACAAGAAAATTAATTCAAATTGTTATGGTATTCAGATATGCAACACGTATCGTAAACCCTGGTGAAAGGTTAAGTTAACACACTGCATATACTGGAAAGTAGGGGTGAGCAGGTTAGAGGTCTAGATTAACTTTGTGAACATTTAGGGCCTTGTTGTCAATTAAGTCAAGAGGGTTTTATATATTTCAACCCTTTTAGCTATGCTAAAAAAAAATAAAATAAAGACAGGAAAATCTAGTTATATTGAAAGGTTCGAGTTCACGAGTCACATGGAACAGTAATTCTGAAGAGTGTACCATCTGTGAATTTCCAGATGGGTACAAGGAAGAGGTGATAAAGAGTAGAGATATGTAGAATTATTAGAGGTTAAAAATACAGGATTTAAACTCTTTTACATTTATGACAAATCCGACTGCAAATGCATGATAATTCATATCATAAAACCTTGTATAACATATAGGCCACAGATCAAGTACAAGAGGGCCTGGTTAACTACCACTAACCACTAAGGCGGTAACTTTTTCCCCGGAAGGCAACGCCACCACCTGAACTAGGCTGACTTGCAGCTGAACTGTTTGCTTGGGCCTGCTGGTCCTGCTCTGATGGCGTGCTTGTTTGCGTTCGATTACCATTTAGTCGGAAGCTTCTTCCTCGGAAAGCAACTCCAGCAGATGGATCACGCTGCACTGGAGAATTTACTTGGATTCCCTTCCCCCAATATGCTACTAGTTTGTGACTGGAACAGCGCATTAAGGACTGTAACAATTCATGATTTAAGTAACATACTCAAATATGTCCCAAGCAATTAGCCAATCTTCTGGCGCCCCTAGGACTTGTCTTTACATTGATCTCAAATATAAGAAGGCATGCATTCTCACTTCTTGGTCAAAGAGGGCGCAGAAATAACAGTTCTTAAGAGCAAAGCTAACACAGTAAACTCAAGAAACGCAGAGAAAACAGAAGGAAAGTAAGAAAAAAACAGAAGATGATTAAACATAAGAAAGGATACACCCAAAGAGGGGTCTTGAAAACGTACTTCCCACCAGCAAGAGGATGAAGTACTGTCAAAAAGTAATAAAGATGCCCTGCAACCATCCCAATAATGTCTGGCATTAAATGACTCCCAAATATCAAGTCCAAAGCTAGAAATGCCCAAGGTAGATAAAATCCCTGCGTTAACAAAATCCCACAATTAGAAACTAATGAGATTTTTCACAAGATACTTGTGATAACACTTAAACTAGATGCAGATTTTTGTTTAGACAGACAATGTGGAGCATAAAAGAAATCATGCTTCTTTAAGGATAAGCTGAGAAGAAGAAGAAGCCTCTGATTAAAACTGACAATAGGTGGAGAAGTCCAGGACTACTAGAATATGAAGACAATAGACCCTGATGATATGAGATTTTCTTAGCACCAGCATTAGCATAATCAAAACTCCTAATTTGACTAAAACTTTAGGGGGAAAAAAATCAAGCATACCTTCAATGTCACTATACCATAGATGCTGATTTGTGCATTTGGAAACTCACGGCTCCATACATAGACGATCATAAAAACCAACGAATCTGCCATGAATGGTGTCCATAGAAATGGAATAGCAGCCATCACCTAGAATCAAGCAGTAGTATGGCATTATTTTCATTTTGTGTAGATTGCTATTTGAGAATATTAGCCTAAGTGCTGTGCTTATAAAATAAGGTTATTTTGTAAGCTGAACGGATAAAAATTTAGTACTACACAGGGTAATGATTATAATATAAAAGGAGTAGGGATTGGGGTTGAATATTGCTGGCTCTAGAAATGAAGATCAAAGAAAATAAAAACGGTGTGCTGTTCCATTTTACTTACCAAAAGTGACAATGCTCCAAAGATCAACATCCAGACATAGTCTGCTGTTCTCTTGTCAAAGGGCCCTCTCTCTAGTAAGACACCGTATCTTGCTCTGTGCAATTAAACTTGAAATGGTAAGGAAACCTAACCTTTTATCTTTCGAAAGTAGAGTATGTTCTTCTCTAACTAAACATGATACCAAATAGTTTTACATAATGATGTTGCAAATTTATCTCTCTCCCTGCCCCTCCTCTGCTACCCAAAGGACAAAAACTAAAGGAAAAAGAAGTACCATAAAAAGTTTCAACTCTCGCAATTGTTTTCTATCCATTAAAAGATTAGAAAGCGTCAGCTTTCTCACATCATTATGAGACGGATGGCGAAAGAGGGTGAAAATGGCCCAAGGAAGAAGAAGTTGGTGACGAGCCTCCAAACCTGCAGCAGAACAATATCCGTGATCAACCACATACTGAGCTCTCCTAGTTGTGAATTGGATTTAAAAAACTGGCTAACAGGTTAACCTGGAAACGTTTGAATACATCTTCGTAAGAGAGTGCTATGTTCCAGGGATCGTAAAGACCAAGATACAAGGCGGATGTGGTCATCAAACAGGCCACTCCATAGAACTTGCTCACAGGCGGCAACGATTCATAATATCTGAACAAATTTGAAGCTTATAACAATTAGACTAACATTAAAAAATTGATCAACGTCCAAGAATTTTAATGTAACATTCGACCGATAAGTTAAGCTAAACATGATGAAAAAGAGAACACATGTAATCCAGTGAGAGAGAGAGATGTTACTGTGCTGGTGTAGACATTGCAGGAAGTATAGCGCCTTTGGTTGTGCAAGAGGGAAAGGATTATGGTTTAACAGGCAGAATGGGTTGCATTTCCTGTCTTTTGTGGCAGCTGAAATTCCAAAGACATGAGTTTGGATGCAAGATAAGTCAAGACAAAACCATATTATTCCAAGTCGTGTCTTGAACGGTCTCGGCTAATTGGACCAACCATTCCGGGTGCGGGTGCGGGTGCGGGTGCCGGTGCGGCCGAATGTGATGTGACCTCTTGGAGGAATCTCTTGGTTGCTTCAGTGTTTGACAATTTCTTCCACTTCCAAGTTGACATGACAATGACTATCGCTCTCAGCACTAACAAAAGTTGACTGACTTGGGCTAATTGAAGACGGTGCCAGGTTTCATTTTACATAAGTTCATAAAAGAATTTCCATTATTTATTTTCCATATTCACTTAATCAAATTATTTACGTAGTTACATTAATATTTTCATTGTCATAATTATACTATTTACAGTTTAGTGGATAATTTCTTTGTCTCCCTATTATTGCCATATACAAGCATATGGTTAAAACAAATTGTATTTAAAAGTTTTCATCTATAACTAAAACATAGAATATAGAATGCCAAGGTGTTGGGGCTCACTAATGAATAACAATGCTAAGATGTCAAGCAAAATTGAGAACTTAATACAAAATAAAATTCATACATAATGTACAATGCTGTTCCATCATAACTATACTAATTTCTTGTACTGTAATATCAGCTAACTGATGACCTCTTTAAGGCCACCTTTGAAGCCCTGCTGATGTATATCATCAATCACTAGACTGAATTTTTGATAACACAAAAACTGTGTTTGTATGGAGTGAATTACTTGACTTCCTTGATGAGACCATCCTTTCTACGTCTTCTATACCTCAGGACCAGATGCAAATAAGCAAACCAGGCCACGAAACACTTGTGCTGAAAGTTTGTGTGCTTCAAAAAGCTCACCATCCAGATTCCAGACACTCTCATTGCCGAAGGACGTGAATGTAAAAGCTGGGGTCTGGAAAGAATCATTAACAATGGCTACACGAGATCTTTTGGGTAACACAAGACAGATGAGAGACATGGCAAGAAAATATACCTTATGATGTTCCACAAAGTCAAAATTCAGGGGGTTTCCGCCTTTCCTTGCTAGCTGAGTAAGGTGCCTGTGGTTATTGATCATGATTCATCACTTAAAGCGGTTCTTTTAAGGATGAAAAACTATGCAGAAACAATACAAAATTTGCAAATGCACCAATTTAGAAGATACCCTGGATTCCAAAAATTTTAATAACTAGGATGAGAGAGAGAGAGAGAGAGAGAGAGAGTGCTTCATATTACCATAGATATAAAGCAGAAGGGCAGTCTTTAATTAATAAAAGATGCAGGAAACCATCTGAAAGGTGCGCATCAGCCACCAAACCATCAGGTGCTCGTTCATTTCGGTTAGACATTAGGGCAGCCCCAACACTGAGAAATTGCCCTTTAGATTTCAACCACCTTGTTTCTTGTGGAAGCGTGTAAGGTGTTGCAGGGGAGCTTCTTGCGGAAGAATAAACTGGCTTTGTATTACACACATTGCAATTGACTCGGCAAATAATTCTTTCAGACTTTTTTCGTTTCAAGTTCCGCACCTTATCAAACATCCCACTTGCATCTGGAATTGAATTACTTTTGTCTGATTCAACTTCCAGGTATGCTACTTCAGCTTCATACGACCTTAACGAAATAAAAAGGTTACCGTGACTTAGCATGGTCAGCTAACTATTATATATTAAGGAGCAGCATTTGCAAGAAATTGTTGTTGCTAAGACATGACCTTGAGAAGGGAAATCAAGCTTAAAACTAATGACAAACATTAACAAGCTGAGATAACTATGCTATCTCCAGAAAGAAAAACTAGTTTGAAATAGGCAGCTTAATAGATATTTATATTGAAGACTTGAAGTCAATATTATAGGACCTGAATCCAGCTCATTATTTCTTATTTAGAAGGAAAATAAGCTCATTTTTTTCCTAAAGAAAGGCAAGGAGTTGAAGGGAAATTTTTTGCCAAATGCATTCTGATACAAACAAAAATTGAAATCCTTGAGTGCAATGAGACCGGTTTCAAAGGCCCCATACAACAGAAGGGGAACTTATCATTCCAAATTTCAGACTTCACTGCAGTTCTTTCATAACTACAAATTGCAACAAATTCTTGATGCTGACAATAAATTACGTGAGGAATGCCACCAAAACCTAACTTCATTGCTCTACGAACTCATTAAGTTAATATGAGAGAAGTACCTGTGTCTCAAAAACACTTTTGTTCCAGCATAATCATAGCGTTTGGGGCCCATCCACCGGTATTTTTCACTCTCTGTAATGACATCTCCATAAAATCCATACCTGATAAATTTCACTGATGAGTTGTAAAGAGACCATCAGGGTAATTCTATAAGGAGCAACAAAAGAGCATAAGCAAACTACAATGCCTTTCAATTTCACTGACCATGCTTAAATATCATGACCATACTCAAAATTATTAATTAGCAGACACACAAGCTAGCAACAGCATGTCTGCACATGTACAGACATATCTATACTTGCACAGTGCACAGAAAATAGTAGTGTAATACTAAGTTCTGGACCCAAATGGCCAGAACATTTTTATGCTAGTACTCTCATAGATTCATGAAATTAGTTATAACAAGAAATTACCCAGCAAAAGAAGCCGCATAGCGTACACAAGGTTCAACCTTTGAGGTAGATGTAGTTTTCCATCTTACAACTTGAGCAACATCAAGGCACACTCTTTTACCCAGGACAATGTGCAAGGCAGATGTTATAGGATCTCGAGCGCCAGTGGTGCTGCAAGAAATAAATTAACAAAAATGTAAAAGTCAAATGAATGACATCCATGATTAGCTACATGGCTTTTCAGTCAGATATTATGTTTATGCCCATCAGCAGTAGAGATACCATTTTCTTAAAGAGATTTGACACATAGGCTCCATTTGTTTCGCAGATATGGACTTCCAGAAAATGAACTATTTTCTAGAAAATGCATTTTCTGAAAGGATGACATTTTCTGTTGTTTGGATGACTTTGTGAAAAATATTTTATATTATTTGGATGACTTTGCAGAAAACAATTTCTATTTTTAAAATTCATATCATTATTAAGTAAACCCAAAATCAATAATCCCAAAATCATGTTTAAGCCTTAAAAGAAATCTTCAAAATGGATTATTCATATATAATCCGGACTCAATATTTTTTCCATCACCATAGGAAATTTTCATGAAATTTTCAATAAAACAAAACCCATAAATTCATGAATAAGAAATGGATAATGCAGCAAATGGGAAACAACATTTTTTTCAAAGTTTTCAAGCTAGCTGAATCATCTATTAGGTATAGAATCATTAATTCTCCCATTCAAGCAAAATTAATGAAAATTAATTGGAATATCTAACTAATCCAAAACCCAAGTCAAGCTAATTAGAGTATCAAATTAATTATATAAATTTATATAAATGAAGTCAAGGAATTCCCGAAACAAATTAACTCAACACCAAACAAAATCTGAAACAAACAGGAGTTCAGTGGGAAAAAAAAAAACAAAACCCATACAGATTTAGTTGGAGCATCTAATTTGAAAAGAAAAGGAAAGAAAAAAAGTGTATTGGTTGAGGAGTCAAGCAGAAATGGCGTGACACTAGAAGATGGTTGGGTATGGAACGAACTCGTTGAAGATGTTGCCGCTATTATGATAGGGCCCTTCAGTGGTGGTTCAATTTGCTGGCTGCTACGGAGAAGTTGGCTGATATTTGCTATGGCTTGCATTGATGGCGGCTGGCAATTGAAGAGGAAAAGGGACATTTGAGTTGGCTTGAATCGCTTTGAATATGGAAACAGAGAGGAGGGCAAAAGATCTTGGAGTTTGAAGTGGGAATAACGGCTACAGAGGTAGTCGGAGATACTACCGTTGGTCACCATTCATGAGTTGCAGGAGTTGAGAGGTTGGGTCGGCTGGGTTAGGACAGGGTGAGGGTTTTGTCATGAGGTTTGGAGCCAGGGGAACTTCTTTGGAAATTCTTCTGCTTTTACAAAGTGGAAAATAATTTCCGTTCTTTTACCACCTTTTTCATTGATTGTCAACACATTTTCCTTTGACCTTTAGATTTTCTGGCTTCCAAACACTGGAAAATGCAGAAATGAACTTCTGGAAGTCCAGTTCCGTGAAACAAATGGATCCATAACGTATATGTTATTACCTAGCTATAATTACACCAAGGCAAGGTCCTGGGACAGGTGATCTGGACACCAAGTCCTAACAATGAGTACTTAGCATAAGTGACAGCTCTTAAGACTTAGACCCACATATGCTTGTCAGACCAAGACATTAACCACTGCATTGGACAATGAGACCTACTTTTGTGTATAACACACTTAGATGAACTAACATGCAAGGCACAGAATACAAAAAGCAGAAAGAAACCAGAAAGCAAAGAACTTTTTTAAAATGCCACAGATCCTTCCATCTACATTATGTTGAACATCAAACCATAAATATAAAATGACAAGGGGAAAGAGACTTGTAGAAGGCATTTAGCTATATATCAGTATCTGACAGAAAGAGGCATTTTGATATATTGGAGTCATCCAGTCAACAGTCACTTATTTCTTTAATGTTCTTCCCTCCCAGTTTAGCAATATTAACCACTTTGAGCAGCCACTTAGTGCAAAAATATCAAAGATCAGGATAGTATCCGTATCAAAAGGAGATTACAAAGTTAGGCACTAAAACTTGGACTGTATGCTGAGTAACAAACATTAAAATAATCATCCAAAAGGCCTTCCACATGCATCCAAATGCTCAGCTACAGACCTATCCTAACCATGTTGAGTCTAAAAATAAGAGAAAACATAAGGAAGGAAACGTCATAAGAATATACCATATCACAATGGCATCTGTTGAACCTGCAGGAATTATCCCAAATCTAAACCTCTGATTAGGCAGGGGATACTTAATTTCTTGATCTGCATAATTATTAAACAATTCGTCAGGTTTCAAGCAATGATATATGTAGATAATCTACAAAAAAACTACCACTGAGTGAG